CGTTATGGCAGACGGAGCAGCACGGCCATGCTGTACCTGCTGGGAGGGAAGGACAGGCATTTTCAGGGACAGGAAGCCATGTCCTGGAGTGAGAAGCCTGCTCTCACCTTAATAGAGGGTGTCCCCTACCTCTCCCTCCCTGTCTCCCCCAGCCCCCATCTCTCTCCCTCTTTGTCCCTCTACCACCTCCCACTCTTCATCCATCTCTCTCCCCCCCTCCACTTTCTTCTCTCACGGTTTCTGCAGGAAAGGGACCAGGGAGGCCCTGCCAGGACGGAGTGAGTAATGGCTTGGAGAAGGAACTGGAAAAGCTGCCGAGCAGGAGAGCCAGCCCGGGGGGGCAGTCCTGAAATGCTGCCTGTCCTCCTGTGCAGAGGGGGCCCGCCGTCCAGCGGATAAAAGCCCCTTTGTGTTGCCAGGTTCTGTCACTAGGGAGATGTCTGAGTGAGAGCCGCTGCATGCTCTGGGCTCTGTCCATCGGGGCCATGAACAGAGGTGTGGAGCTCGGGGAGCGGCCCAGAGACGCAGACACCACCCAGGAGCAACAAGGCAGCTGGCCCCACTGAGAGGCCAGCTTCGGGCCTGCCTCGACTCTGCGGCTGGAGCCTGGGGCTCGGCCCCGGAGCCCCATGCCTGCTCCCTAGTCTGCAGGACGCTCAGCTCCCAGATTGTTTGATCAGCTTTAGCTGACAGGGAGGAAGGGAGGGGAAGGAACATGGGAGCCGAGGCGGTTGAAGCCAGCATTTCAGAGGGAGAGGCAGAAGCCAGCAGCCACCCTGCAGGTGTCAGCAAACCATGTGCGGGCTGCTTTTCTGCCTCCACCCTCCTGGCACGCAGTGCGTGCATCTGCCGCCGATCTGCCTTCAGCTGTGAGCTGGGACAGGCAGGAGCCCGGGCACGGAGCTCTGCCCTCCCCGATTGTGCCAGTGAAACAACTGCAAACGGTGCTTCTGAGGCAGCCATGCGGGCCATGCGGACAGCGAGGCGAGGGGCGGGGGCAGGGGGCAGCGTGGGAAGGAGCATGTGCCCAGAAGTGGGTCCCCAGTCAAACCCATGACTTGACCCTAGTCCCCACCTCAGGGCACAGAGGGAGGTCCCCAGAGCAACCCCCTCCTGGGCCTGGCAGAAACGGAAGCAGAGGGGGGCAGGGGGGAGAGGGTGCTGGTGAGCACCCCCAGGTGCTGCGACTGGCCAACCAGATCAGGACAAGGGCACCCCCTTGGGTGAGGCCTCCGCCGTCCCCTCCCCACTCGGATGCACACCAGGCCTGAAGCCTCGCTCCCCGCAGGCCCCGGAGAGTGCTGGCCTGGGCGCCCTCCAGCCTCTCCGTGGCCTCCAGGGGGCTCTCGGCACCCATTCCAGGAGGGCTGTGCTGGGTCTCAGCTCTGGGAGCCGCTCCCCGCCTGCAGCAGGAGCACACTCCACAGCGAGCAGCACGAGGCCCCGCCTCTGGGTGGCAGTGTCCCCACTCGGCCACAGCCCTGAGGTCAGGTCGCACTGGGAGCCTCAGCCACGCCCAGCCCGCTGGGAGCACCTGGACCCCTGGGTGCAGGAGGCAGCTCCTGAGCCCCAGGGAGCGGGGCCTCCCAGGGGGCAGGAAACACCGGGGCACAGAGAGGTCGCCCTCAGGGGCACCTGGGACTCCCTGGAGGAGGCAGCACTCAGGCCTGGGAACAAAGGCTGTGGCCCTGCACAGGGGAGGCGGAGGCGCCGGCCGGTCCGGTCTCACAGAACAGCCGTCCGTGGAGCTGGGGCCGAGGCGAAGCTTCAGACCCAGCTTACAGGGAGCAGCGCGGCCGCCCGGCTGCCCTCCGCCCGCCCGGACCAGGAGCCCGCACAGCCACACCCCGCAGTGGCCTGGGGAGGAGGAACGGGCACGGACTAGGCCTGGCCTGCCAGCGCCCGCTCTCGCCAAACCAAGCCCCCGGCCCGGGGTCCACACTCACCCCGGCCACTGGCCCGCTCGCGGTGTCGGCCTGGCCCCGGCGTGGCTGTGTCTGCGGAGCACAGGCCGCACCCGCCACCGCGAGGGAGGTGGCGGCTGAGCAGAGACATGGCCAGGAGTGCCCCGGGCCGAGGGCCGGGAGCGCACGCGTCAGCAGTGCCTGGGCTTCGTGTCCGGCCCCAGGCGGGCACGGTCAGCCCCACAGGAGCAAGACCGGTGCTCCCCAGGGCACGGTGAGGGCCGGGCCGAGGCGGACAGGGGGCTGCAGTCTGGGACGAGGAGAGGCCAGGCAGGGCCGAGGTAAGCAGGAGGCGGGAGGGGAGCACAGACTTCGGAGGGCTCGAGCTGGCCGGTGGATGTGCGTTTCACACAGGACTGAGGGGTAGGGGAAGTGTTTACTCTGAACTGTGTCTTGTGCTTAAAGAAAACTGATTTATTAATGAAAATATAACGTGAAAAATAGGATTGAGGTCAGCTGTGGACATCAGGAAAAAATTACAGCGCCCTCAAAACAGGACAGGTTTCTTTCTTACCCCCTCCGAGACGGTGGGGGGCACACGCGGGGGGAGATGGGCACAAGCACAAGGCGAGCAGACGGCCTGTGGATCCAGACCCCTCGCCGGAGCCAGCCGCTGCCGCGCCTGCTCTGCTGATGGCTGCAGGGAGCTCAGCACCCACTTTGTTCTGGGGTTCAGAGCCTTCACGGGCCAGCTGCTCCTTTCCATGTGGCCCTGGCATGCCAAGTCCTGCAAGGGCCGAGGGGGCGAAGCGCCTGCAGTGCCCGCCGCACCCCCGGCCTGTTACCAGGCTCGGCCCGCCGCCTGTGGCACGGCTTCCTCTCCCGCCTTCCATGGGGTGAGGGCACCTCCCCCGGGGCCGCCCCCCCCTTCCCGAAAGCGCCTGACAGCGAAGAGCACTGGGCCCCACCCGCTGCCAGGTAACGGTGCCCGGGGCGCCCTGTGGCAGTGCCCGCTGCCCCGGGCCCGCGGCTCCCTGGCGGTGGGCATGTGTGGGTGGGCCCGGGCCCGGCCAGGAGGGCAGAGCTGCAGCGCAGAGCCAGCCTCCTGGCCAGGACCTTGCACGGGCCTGCCTCCCTCCGCCGGGATGCCAGGCCTGCTCACCCCGCCCCACTCCCGCCTCTCGGAGATGGAGAGGGACCGGAAGCCGCCCCGTTCACAAGCAGGGTGTCTCAGCACACCTCCTCCCCACACCCACGCCTCTCCAGGGGCCACTGAGAGGGGCGGTGAGGGTGCCCTGAGCAGAGCGAGGCTGCACCCCTGGGTCCGCCTGGGGTTCGAGGCTGCCTACTCAAAGTACCAGAGTGCAGGGGGCACCTCTTCACGGCACCCCCTCTACACACCGGAGGCACGGCCAGTCACACCGCTCAGAGGGGCAAGCGCATCAGCCCAGCGCGGCGTGTGCGGCCATTTGTGCGTGTCTGCATGCGTGTGCTAGCCGCACACGTGTCTCCTTCAGAGTAGGGTGACATACCCAGATCTGGGTGCCCGGCGGCGCACTGTCCACCGCGCCTTTTCCTGGCTCTTGCCTCCTGCACGCAGAGCTGTCGGGAGCCCCACAGGACAGCATCTTCAGGGTGGGAGGCCAGGCACCCAAACTCCCCGCTGAGCCCCAAGACACCCGTGGTGCAGGTTCCCACCAGCGGCCGCCTGGGCCTCCCGCAGCCAGGCGGGGCTCAGGCCTGGACAGCGAGGGGCCGCTGCCACGGAGGGGCCCTGCCTCCTCCCCCCCTTACCCCCCATGTCTGCGCTGAGGGCGCAGCTCACCCCCCCTGACCGCAGGCCCCAGAGGAGCACAGCCCTGAGGGGCCGGTCCCGGGTCCAAATGCCTGGGTGAGCAGACGGACCGGCAGTCCTACAGCAGCAGGGCCCGGCGGGCGGCCACCGGTGGCACAGACGTGCCCTGGCCACAGGGCGGCCTGGCCGGGCCGAGTGGGTGACTCTTCTCCTGGAAATCCCCGGTGACTCGCATTTTCCATGCTTTCAGTTTCACACACAAACACCAGCCGCCACAGGGGGGCGGAGGGGGGTGTGGAGAGCAGGGCTGGGCATGGCCCCTGGGGTTCCAGCCCCACAGGTGCCCTCTGCAGGCAGGCAGGCAGGCCACAGGCCACCGCTCAGCCAGCTGTGCCTCAGTTTCCTCCGCGGGTTCGGGGCACCGGCTCCCAGGGAGAGAGAAGCGGCGCCCTGGGCCCAGCAGGGCCGCCCAGAGCACGGCGCAGCGGCCGGGGCTGGCTCCCACCACTGGGCCTCCCGCTCCCACCACTGCGCTTCCCGCAGCCAGGCGGGCTCAACCACCCCGCTCCCGGCTCCGCCGCTAACGGCTCTGAGCCAGTCTGGGGGGACCATGCCCGGCCGCGGGCTAAGAGGCCCCTTCCCCCCACAGGAAGCTGACCGCGGAGAGCCAGGCGGCGGCAGGAGCACCGGGGCGGGGTGGCTCTGCTCAGGGCCTGGGGGAGGGGGTTCAGAGCGGAAATCAGCAGAGGGGGAAAGGCAGAGTGGGTCCCCGCCCGGAGCGGGAAGGCAGCTGTGCCCGGAGCCCGCTAGGCACCTGGGAGGCCCAGGTTCTGGTCCAGTTAGGGGGCAGGAGCACGGGCCTGACCCGCTCCACCCGGTGCCGCCGGGGCAGGGCCCTGCCTCCCGCCGGGAGCCGCGCCATCCCCTGGGGGGGGCGGGGGCGTGGGAGGCCGGCGTCCCGCCGCCCGGGCGGAGGCAGGGCTCAGCGGTGGAGGCGGCGGGGGGCGCACAGCGGGGCGCGCCGCCGGCGCGGGCTCCCAGCGTGGGCGGAGGGCCAGGCTCCGGGCCTGGTTTTACGGATTAAAACTGCCCGGACCCGGGCGCGGAGGAGGCGGGCCTCCCACACCTCCGGCCTGGGAAGGGAGGAGCCCCAGCGTCCCCGGCGCGGAGGGCCGGCCGGGTGGGGGCGGGGCCAGCCTGGAGGCGGGGCCTGAGAGGGCGGGGCCGGGCGGGGCGGGGCCAGACGGAGGGCGGGGCCTGGGCGGGCGGGGCCGGCGGTCAGGTCCGGGGCCCGCGGCGCGCGCGGGACACGGCGGCGGGGAGCGGGCGGCCTCAGCTCGCAGCGGAGCGGTGGCGGCGGCCGGGCGCACCATGGACTCGGCCCTGGAGGGGTACGAGCTCAACGGTGACCTGTGGCCAGACTCGCCCGGCGCCCCGGACGCCCGGGTAAGCCCTCCCCGCCCCCCGCGGCCTCCAAGGGCCGCCTCCCTGGGCTCCGGCACCGTGGGCCCCGCGGGGTCTCCCCCTCTCCGTCCGCCGGCCCGCAGGTGAGCGGGGCGCGGGCTGGGGTGCCGGAGCCTCCCCTCCCGCAGCCTCCAGCTCCAGCCGCCTATCGGCCCGGTGCGCCCGGCGGGGGGGGCGGGGGGGGGGCGCGCAGCCTCCGGGCCCCGGGCCGGCGGCACTGGCACCAGCGGCACCGGCACCAGCGGCGCAGCACCGCACAGCCCGCGTGGCCTCCACAGGGAACCGGGTTCTGGACCGCGGGAACTTGGCGCCACTTGTGTCCCCGGGGAACTTGGAGCCTCTGGGGCCGCTGTCCCCGCACCCACCCCGCGCCCTGCAGCCTGCCCGGCCCGGCCTGGGGCGCAGGGGGAGCCCCCCATCCGGGCCGGCGCCCTCCTGCCCTGGTCCCGCTGCGCTGGGCAGGGCCCCTTGGGGCCAGCTCTGCCCAGGGGTGTGAGCTGCCCTGGCATCGCCTGGGGGGCTGGTTGACATTCTTTCCGTTTCTGCCCCTGGAGGGCCTGGGGGGGATGATAGGACACCAGGTGGCGTGGATGCCAAGCAGAGCCGAGTCCCACACAACCGTCATTTCCCTCCTCCTCCCACAGCTAACCTCTCGGCCCCTGGCCTCCCTCACACGGCAGCCGGGCGGGGCTGCCTTGGTTAGTGGCCCTGCCCTGGAGGAACTTACAGCCTGGGCTGTGTGTGTGTGTGTGGGGGGGGCGCTCCCCCCCTGGGCTCTGCCCTGGCCTGGAGCTGGGGGGTACAGCAAGTAACCCCAGGCCCTTGGGTGGAAGTCGGTTTGAAGGGAGGGGTCCTGCTCACCTCCCAGCCTTGGCTGCACACTTCCCAGCAGACCTGCTGTCTGTGGGGAGGGACACTGCATTGGGTCTGGAGGGGGAGGGCACTGCATTGCCTCTGGAGGGGGGAGGGCACTGCGTTGGGGCGGGAGGGGGAGGGCACTGCATTGCCTCTGGAGGGGGAGGGCACTGCATTGGGTCTGGAAGGGGAGGGCACTGCGTTGGGTCTGGAGGGGGAGGGGCACTGTGTTGGGTCTGGAGAGGGAGGGGCACTTGGTTGGGTTGGGGGAGGGGCACTGCGTTGGGTCTGGAGGGGGAGGGGCACTTGGTTGGGTTGGGGGAGGGGCACTGCGTTGGGTCTGGAGGGGGAGGGCACTGCGTTGGGCCTGGAGAGGGAGGGGCACTTGGTTGGGTTGGGGGAGGGGCACTGCGTTGGGTCTGGAGGGGGAGGGGCACTGCCTTGGGTCTGGAGGGGGAGGGCACTGCATTGGCTCTGGAGGGGGAGGGGCACTGCATTGGCTCTGGAGGGGGAGGGGCACTGCATTGGGTCTGGAGGGGGAGGGGAACTGCCTTGGGTCTGGAGGGGGAGGGGCACTGCCTTGGGTCTGGAGGGGGAGGGCACTGCATTGGGTCTGGAGGGGGAGGGCACTGCATTGCCTCTGGAGGGGGAGGGGCACTGCATTGGGTCTGGAGGGGGGGGGGCACTGCATTGGGTCTGGAGGGGGAGGGGCACTGTGTTGGGTCTGGAGAGGGAGGGGGAGGGGCACTGTGTTGGGTCTGGAGGGGGAGGGGCACTTGGTTGGGTTGGGGGAGGGCACTGCGTTGAGTCTGGAGGGGTAGGGCACTGCCTTGGCTGGGGGGGAGGGGCACTGCCTGGCTCTGGAGGGGGCGGCTCTGCATTGGGTCTGGAGGGGGAGGGTACTGTGTTGGGTCTGGAGGGGGAGGGGCACTGCATTGGGTCTGGAGGGGGAGGGGCACTGCATTGGGTCTGGAGGGGGAGGGGCACTTGGTTGGGTTGGGGGAGGGGCACTGCATTGGGTCTGGAGGGGGCGGCACTGCATTGGCTCTGGAGGGGGAGGGGCACTGCATTGGGTCTGGAGGGGGAGGACACTGCGTTGGGTCTGGAGGGGGAGGACACTGCGTTGGGTCTGGAGGGGGAGGGGCACTGCATTGGGTCTGGAGGGGGAGGACACTGCGTTGGGTCTGGAGGGGGAGGGGCACTGCATTGGGTCTGGAGGGGGAGGGACACTGCATTGGGTCTGGAGGGGGAGGACACTGCGTTGGGTCTGGAGGGGGAGGGCACTGTGTTGGGTCTGGAGGGGGAGGGCACTGCCTTGGCTGGGGGGGAGGGGCACTGCCTGGCTCTGGAGGGGGCGGCACTGCATTGGCTCTGGAGGGGGCGGCACTGCATTGGCTCTGGAGGGGGCGGCTCTGCATCCAGTGAGCAGACGGAAGCCCAGGGCTGGCCTGCCGGCAGCGGGGCCTGGAGGATGGATGGGTGGAGGATGTGGAGAGGGCCCAAGGCAGAGGGCATGGGGAGAGCAAGGCCCTCTGGCTGGCCGCCCCGCATGTCTGACTCCTCCGCAGGCCTGGCCCCTGGCCCGGAGGCCGGTACAGGGTCCGGTGAAGAGGGCACGTGGGTGGCCCTGAGGCTCCACCCCCGGGAGCACCCAGCCTCCCCCTCCCCTCCCCCCAGGCCGGCCTCTGTTTCTCGTCTGTGACGTGGGGGCAGCAGTGCACTCCTCAGGGTCACCGTGAGGACCGGGAGGAGCTGTGGGGGACGCGGACACCGGCATGCTGCCTCCCCGCTCCTGCTCCCCTCCCTTTCCGTCCCAGGGCAGCCTCAGGCGCCTGCTGAGGGCGGGCCGAAAGGATTGCCGGGGGAGGGGCACATGGGGCTGCAGGGCCTCTTCGGGGCGAGGGGGCTGTGTGCCCAGCGTGCCCCTGGCCACGGAGGACAGACGGGGCCTGGCGGTGCTGCGCCGTGGGCAGGCAGAGCCCACCAGCTCAGCGCTCTGTCTGTGAGGGTGGGCGGCTCAGCACAGGTGGCCAGGCCTGGAGGAGTCAGACCTGTGGCCTGTGGGCAGACGCCGCTGGGCCAGGGCAGGGGGAGATCCGAGATGCCCTGGCTGTGCTGGGCTTGCAGGCCCGTCTGCCCGGCCGCCGGAGTTTTCTTAAGGCGGGAGGGCCGGTGCGGGTGGGGCTGCTGGGAAAGCAGCCTGCACACTGGGCTGTTTACGGCTGCGTGCTGCCTGGGGCCCTGGCTGGCGGCTGGGGACACGGCAGCAGGTCCTGGGACGGCGCCAGCGAGGACAGCAGGGACTGGACGGGATGGCGAGGCTCCGGCTGGGCCAGCGCAGCCCGGGGAGCGGGACTTTGCCTCTCCTTTCTGCTTTCCCGGCAGATTCCAGGCTGACAGGGTCCTCGCCACCTTCTAAAAGGTGACGTGGCCGCAGGGTCACCAGAGGCCAGTGCTGAGCCCACAGGAAGTGGGTGTGCCCAGCCCACAGCCAGCTGCCTCCGGAAACACCCCCTCTGTCCTCCACCAGACTTCCTGCCTGGAGCAGGTCAAGACCTCTTGCCAGCTGACGGGAGTTGGGGATGGTGTGGCCTGTGTGGCCCCAGGCAGTGCCCCCGTGGCCAGGCCAGTTAGGGCTCCGTTCCCTCAGACCCCTGCCCCTCCCGCCAGCCGTGTACAGACGGAGAACCGGCACCGGCAGGGATGCCAGGGCAGGCCAGGTGCTGAGCCTCAGATTGCTGGGTCCTCGGCTGCCGCCCAGCAGAGGTGAAGTGGGCTCTGGGCGGACTCCGTGCGGCCTCACTCCACACTGCCCTCAGGATTGGGTCCATGGCAGTGGAGCCAGGCCCAGGGGGCGGGTCAGTGACCAGCCCTCAGGTTCCTGCCTGGTCTCCGGGAGAGCAGGGATGGAGGCTGGAGGCTTGGGAAGCCCCCTCCGTCTCTCCCCACTCGAGCCTGAGTGGGCTGGAGTATCCCCCATACTGTGACCAGAATTGGGCAGCCGGGGTGCCTCAGACCTGGGTTCAAATCCTGGGTTCGAATCAAGTCCTCGTCCCCCTCCTGCTGGATGGAGGACGCACAGCAGTGTGTTCTATGGAGAGGTGCCCGAGACCCTGCCGCAGAGGGTGGGCAGCCCTGTGCACAGCTCCTGCCCCCCGGCCCCGGCCTTTAGGGGAAGCAGTCCACAGCCTGGGCCCCGGTGCAGCGTGGGGTCCTGTGGGCCAGGAGCACACTAACAGGGCATTTGTCCCCTGCGCTGCCCAGGTCTTGGTAGGAGGTTCCAGGGAGGCTCCTGGCAGCTGGGGAGGCAGGCAGCGGTTCCTATGGGCGTGTACATATGTGTGAGTATCTATGCATGTGTACACACGCCTGTATTGTGTATGTATATGTGTGCATGTTGGTATGTCCATGTTGATACATGTGTGTCCACGTGTGTGCATGTTGTGTTTATGTGTTGGCTTTTGTGTGTGTGTGCATGTTGTTTGTGTGTGTGAATGAGTGGGTGTGTGTGCATAAGCTCGTGTGTACGTACTTGGCCCATGGGAGGTGGAACCCGTTGTGAGTGCAGCCGGCTTTCCTCGGGTGGAGCCTGGGTGAGCATTGGTGCTCCCAGTGAGACCAGCCTGGCCCTCTTGGTTTAGGAAGCGCTGGGGCACCGGTGCTGGGTGCGGGGCGAGGGGTGGCCTCATGCTAGGGGCACAGCCCCAGACCCTGGCCAGGGAGCAGCCCGAGGCTGGGCGTGGGGCCGGCCACTGCCGTGAGCGCGGCCCCAGACCTGGCGTGGGGGCAGGGGGCCCAGGCCGGCCGAGCGAGCGTCCGGCGGGCGGGCGGGGCCGCGCCTGCGGGTGGAATTTAAACCGAGTGGATTCACTACTTCAGAGCCACCACGGAGAGAAGTGGGGCGGCAGCAGAGCCGCCGGGTCTGGTGCCCATCCTCCCGCCTCTGGCAGGTGGTTCTGGACTCAATGTGAACGTGAAGGTGCTCTGGACGGGAGCCAGATGGAGGGGGCTGAGCCCGGCCCTCCCGCCCCGCCGCCCATCCCCCCGCTCCCGAGTCCAGAAATAGGATCTCCTGTGGCCCCAGGAGGCCCGTCCAGCTTGGCAGCAGCTGCCAGGGGACAAAGGGCCAGGGCGGGGGGGAGGAGGGAAGTGGGGCAGTTCGAGGTCATCTGGAGGGGGAGACGTGAGGAGTGGTGGGACCATTCTCAGCAGAGGCCGGGTCTGCCTGGAGGGGAGGGACAGGCTTCTGTGCGGCGGTCACGGTGCCGCCTGCATGGCCTCAGCAAGCACTCACACACCTGTGCACACGGCAGCGCTCACACACCTGTGCACATGGTAGCCGGCGAGCACTCACACACCTGTGCACACGGCAGCGCTCACACACCTGTGCACATGGTAGCCGGCGAGCACTCACACACCTGTGCACACGGCAGCGCTCACACACCTGTGCACACGGCAGTGCTCACACACCTGTGCACACAGCAGCCGGCGAGCGCTCACACACCTGTGCACACGGCAGCCGGCGAGCGCTCACACACCTGTGCACACGGCAGTGCTCACACACCTGTGCACACAGCAGCCGGCGAGCACTCACACACCTGTGCACACGGCAGTGCTCACACACCTGTGCACACGGCAGCGCTCGCACACCTGTGCACACGGCAGTGCTCGCACTCACACACCTGTGCACACGGCAGTGCTCACACACCTGTGCACACAGCAGTGCTCACACACCTGTGCACACAGCAGCCGGCGAGCGCTCACACACCTGTGCACACGGCAGCCGGCGAGCGCTCACACACCTGTGCACACGGCAGTGCTCACACACCTGTGCACACAGCAGCCGGCGAGCACTCACACACCTGTGCACACGGCAGTGCTCACACACCTGTGCACACGGCAGCCGGCGAGCGCTCACACACCTGTGCACACGGCAGCGCTCACACACCTGTGCACACGGCAGCCAGCAAGCGCTCACACACCTGTGCACACGGCAGCGCTCACATACCTGTGCACACAGCGGTCGGTGTGGAGGCTGGGCGGGCACTCGCCTCTGCCTGCACCGTCGGCGTGAAAGGTGCAGCTTTTGGCCTGTCCGCCATGGCGCAGTTATGTGGCTTACACTTTAAATGAAGTTAAGGAAGGTTCTGTACAGCAGAGAACGCCAGGCTGCTCTGGAGTCTGCTGCGCCCCTGCTCGGCCAGGTGGGGTGGGGGTGCTCTGTGAAGGGATCTGGCTCCCACCCCAAAGCCACCTCTGCCCTGGACCCCCCCCCCCCAGACCCGGAGGAGGGGAGGAGGGGTGCCGGGCGGGCCGGGAAGCGGGGTGCACAGGCAGCCCCAGGGCGGCCCCCAGCTCGGTGTGCGGAGGCGCCGTTCCTTTCTCCTCAGGGACGGGTTCCGAGGGGGTCTGTCGGGGCTCCTGGCCCTCTCCAGCCTCTTGTTCTGTGAGGCTTCCTTCTCAAACCTCCCCTGGGCCCCGCTTCCCTGCCAGTCCCGGGAGGAGCCCCTGGGGCGCCCTCTGACCCCCACCCCCCCCGCAGCCCTCGCGCTGGGGCCGCAGCGGGCCCATCAACGTGAACCACTACGCCAACAAGAAGAGCGCGGCCGAGAGCATGCTGGACATCGCCCTGCTCATGGCCAACGCCTCCCAGCTCAAGGCCGTCATCGACCAGGGCCCCAGCTTCGGCTTCTTCGCGCCCCTCGTGGCCCTCATCTCCATCTCCCTGGTGCTGCAGATCAGTGTGGGCGTGCTGCTCATCTTCCTGGGTACGGGCCCCCGGTGGCTGCCGGGCAGGGGACCCCCGGGCCCTGTGGGTGTGAGCGGGGAGCCCCCGGGCCCTGTGAGTGTGAGCGGGGAGCCCCGGGCCCTGTGAGTGTGAGCGGGGACCCCCGGGCCCTGTGAGTGTGAGCGGGGACCCCCGGGCCCTGTGAGTGTGAGTGGGACCCCCGGGCCCTGTGAGTGTGAGCGGGGACCCCCGGGCCCTGTGAGTGTGAGCGGGGAGCCCCAGGCCCTGTGAGACCCCGGGCCCTGTGGGTGTGAGCGGGAAGCCCCCGGTGGCTGCCGGGCAGGGGACCCCCGGGCCCTGTGAGTGTGAGCGGGGAGCCCCGGGCCCTGTGAGTGTGAGCGGGGACCCCCGGGCCCTGTGAGTGTGAGCGGGGGCCCCCGGGCCCTGTGAGTGTGACCGGGACCCCCGGGCCCTGTGAGTGTGAGCGGGGACCCCCGGGCCCTGTGAGTGTGAGCGGGGACCCCCCGGGCCCTGTGAGTGTGAGCGGGGACCCCCCGGGCCCTGTGAGTGTGAGCGGGGACCCCCGGGCCCTGTGAGTGTGAGCGGGAGCTCCCAAGCCTGTGAGTGTGAGCGGGGAGCCCGGGCCCTGTGAGTGTGAGCCGGGACCCCCGGGCCCTGTGAGTGTGAGCGGGGAGCCCCCGGGCCCTGTGAGTGTGAGCGGGGAGCCCCGGGCCCTGTGAGTGTGAGCGGGGAGCCCCCGGGCCCTGTGAGTGTGAGCGGGGACCCCCGGGCCCTGTGAGTGTGAGCGGGGAGCCCCGGGCCCTGTGAGTGTGAGCGGGGACCCCCGGGCCCTGTGAGTGTGAGCGGGGACCCCGGGCCCTGTGAGTGTGAGCGGGGACCCCGGGCCCTGTGAGTGTGAGCGGGGACCCCCGGACCCTGTGAGTGTGAGCGGGGAGCCCCGGGCCCTGTGAGCCCCCGGGCCCTGTGAGTGTGAGCGGGAGCCCCCGGGCCCTGTGAGTGTGAGCGGGGACCCCGGGCCCTGTGAGTGTGAGCGGGGACCCCGGGCCCTGTGAGACCCCGGGCCCTGTGGGTGTGAGCGGGAAGCCCCCGGTGGCTGCCGGGCAGGGGACCCCCGGGCCCTGTGAGACCCCGGGCCCTGTGGGTGTGAGCGGGGAGCCCCCGGGCCCTGTGAGTGTGAGCGGGGAGCCCCCGGGCCCTGTGAGTGTGAGCGGGGAGCCCCCGGGCCCTGTGAGTGTGAGCGGGGAGCCCCCGGGCCCTGTGAGTGTGAGCGGGGAGCCCCCGGGCCCTGTGAGCCCCCGGGCCCTGTGAGTGTGAGCGGGGAGCCCCCGGGCCCTGTGAGTGTGAGCGGGGAGCCCCCGGGCCCTGTGGGTGTGAGCGGGGAGCCCCGGGCCCTGTGAGTGTGAGCGGGGAGCCCCCGGGCCCTGTGGGTGTGAGCGGGGAGCCCCGGGCCCTGTGAGACCCCGGGCCCTGTGGGTGGAGCTGCCCTGGGGTGGGGCTCCCTTGGCCCGCAGTGCAGGGTGTGCCCCAGAGCCCTCGTGGCTCTGTCCCTCCGCCCACGCACGGGAGGGCCCCAGCACCCAGCTGTGGTCAGGCCTGAGCAGCGGGCTCGGGGTGCCTCCTGGCTGCTGTGGGACCCCCTGCCTCAGTTGTCCTGCCTGTCGCGTGAAGGTGAGGCTCGAGGAAGGACCCCTCACAGGACACTCAGGAAGGTGCAGGCCCCTCTGGGCTTCCAGCCGGCCAGGCCCCGGTCGGTCGTGCATGAAGCAGGCGTCTGATGGACGGAGGGGGCTGTGTGGGCCCGGCGGGCGGCCTGGGCAGTGTGCGCACCCTCTCCCCACAGTCAGGTACGACCTCAACAACCCAGCCAAGCACGCCAAGCTGGACTTCCTCAACAACCTGGCCACCGGCCTGGTCTTCATCATCGTGGTGGTCAACATCTTCATCACGGCCTTTGGCGTGCAGAGGCCCGCGGCGGACCTGGCACCGCGGCAGTAGGCCGGTGAGTGAGGACACGGCCCTCCCCGGCTCGGCCCCCGGCCCTCCAGCCTCCCCGGAGCTGGGCCCCCCGCCCTCCCCGGAGCTGGGCCCCCGGCCCTCCCCGGAGCTAGGCCCCCGGCCCTCCGGCCCTCCCCGGAGCTGGGCCCCCGGCCCTCCGGCCCTCCCCAGAGCTGGGCCCCCGGCCCTCCCCGGCTCGGCCCCCCGGCCCTCCGGCCCTCCCCGGCTCGGCCCCCGGCCCTCCGGCCCTCCCCGGAGCTGGGCCCCCGGCCTTCCCCGGCTCGGCCCCCGGCCCTCCGGCCCTCCCCGGAGCTGGGCCCCCGGCCCTCCCCGGCTCGGCCCCCCGGCCCTCCGGCCCTCCCCGGAGCTGGGCCCCCGGCCCTCCCCGGCTCGGCCCCCCGGCCCTCCGGCCCTCCCCGGCCCGGCCCCCCGGCCCCCCGGCCCTCCGGCCCTCCCCGGAGCTGGGCCCCCGGCCCTCCGGCCCTCCGGCCCTCCCCGGAGCTGGGCCCCCGGCCCTCCGGCCCTCCGGCCCTCCCCGGAGCTGGGCCCCCGGCCCTCCGGCCCTCCCCGGAGCTGGGCCCCCGGCCTCGTGGGTGGCGCCTGCCGCTGAGCGTTCCCACCCACACGCAGGGCGCAGGGGTCCTGCACCTGGGACCCTGCTGGGCTGCACACCACGGGGGGGTGGGGGGGGTTCCGCCAGAGGAATGGTGGACGGCTGACGGGCAGCTGTCTGCCCAGCAGGGACGCCCATGGCCGCTTGGGGACCCACAGAGCACCGGCCGCCAGTGTGCCTGTTCACGGCACGATGGCCGGGCCAGGGACCAACGGCCAGTGTGACCTCAGACATGACCCCGCTCTCCCCGAGCCTCAGTCCAGGGCTGGCGCCTCCAGCCCTGTTCTCGGGCCGTCAGTGTGGGGGGCCAGGCCCTCCAGCCCTCAGGGCTCCGCAGGGGAAACAGGCTTGCCCAGGTCAGGATGGGGCCTTCCTGGAGTCGGAGTGGCCCCGACTCTGGACACCACTAAGCAGGGTCCCAGGATGGCCGGGCCCCGCCTGGCAGCCTCACCACTCCCTGCCCTTTGCAGGTGCCCAGCCGACACCACCACAGCCACTCGGACCCCAGGAGCGGCCTCAGCCGTGGGCCCCGCCTGGGCACTGCACCCTGAGAACGCCAGAGCCAGGACCGGGCTGGACGACACTCACCAGTGAGCCCTGCTCCACCCGCGGCTCCTCCCCCTGAAGCAGGGGCAGCGAGGCCAGAGGAGGAACGACCCCAAGGAGGGCCGTGGCCACAGACACGCGGCAGGCCGAGGAGGGCGGCCAGGCCAGGGACATTGTCTTGGGACATTTCCAAAAGGCCAGAGTCTTGGGACATTTCCAAAAGGACAAAGAGATGCCTGCCGGCCAGCACACCACCAGCCCCGCCCTTCCTGCCTGGGACCCCGACCAGCAGCTTCCCCGGACCTGCCCCAGCCCCGCTTTTCTAAGCACAAATGACCAATAAACGATTGCTCCTCCCCTGCGGCTCCCAGCCCTCTCCCTCCTGCCCGGCGGCCTGTGCCCGCCTCCCCTCCGCCCCGCAGCCTGCTGGCTCACACCTGGGCCTGGCATCCAGGCGGTTTCCAGCGGAGCCCAGAGCCGGTCCCCAGTGCCGGGTCATTCTCAGAACGGCGAGGAGCCCGCAGCCAGGCCCAAGGCCGTGGCCAGGTCGCTGCAGCCGCCGTCCGCTCTGGGGCCCCGCAGGTGTGGCCAGCGGCGGCCGTGAGAAGCTGGCCCACCGCCCTCTGCAGCCGCCGTCCGCTCTGGGGCCCCGCAGGTGTGGCCAGCGGCGGCCGTGAGAAGCTGGCCCACCGCCCTCTGCGGCCACCGTCCGCTCTGGGGCCCCGCAGGGGTGGCCAGCGGCGGCCGTGAGAAGCTGGCCCACCGCCCTCTGCGGCCGCCGTCCGCTCTGGGGCCCCGCAGGGGTGGCCAGCGGCGGCCGTGAGAAGCTGGCCCACCGCCCTCTGCGGCCGCCGTCCGCTCTGGGGCCCCGCAGGGGTGGCCAGCGGCGGCCGTGAGAAGCTGGCCCACCGCCCTCTGCGGCCGCCGTCCGCTCTGGGGCCCCGCAGGGGTGGCCAGCGGCGGCCGTGAGAAGCTGGCCCACCGCCCTCTGCGGCCGCCGTCCGCTCTGGGGCCCCGCAGGGGTGGCCAGCGGCGGCCGTGAGAAGCTGGCCCACCGCCCTCTGCGGCCGCCGTCCGCTCTGGGGCCCCGCAGGGGTGGCCAGCGGCGGCCGTGAGAAGCTGGCCCACCGCCCTCTGCGGCCGCCGTCCGCTCTGGGGCCCCGCAGGGGTGGCCAGCGGCGGCCGTGAGAAGCTGGCCCACCGCCCTCTGCGGCCACCGTCCGCTCTGGGGCCCCGCAGGGGTGGCCAGCGGCGGCCGTGAGAAGCTGGCCCACCGCCCTCTGCGGCCACCGTCCGCTCTGGGGCCCCGCAGGGGTGGCCAGCGGCGGCCGTGAGAAGCTGGCCCACCGCCCTCTGCGGCCACCGTCCGCTCTGGGGCCCCGCAGGTGTGGCCAGCGGCGGCCGTGAGAAGCTGGCCCACCGCCCTCTGCAGCCGCCGTCCGCTCTGGGGCCCCGCAGGGGTGGCCAGCGGCGGCCGTGAGAAGCTGGCCCACCGCCCTCTGCAGCCGCGGCGCTCGGGTGGCGAGCGCGTCCCAGAGGCCGAGGCTGCGGCTGGACTGGCCAGGGCACTGCTCCGGTTGCAGATTCAATCCCCTTGGGCGAGTACGGGAGGCAAGTGATTGATGTTCTCCCTCTGTCTTCCTCTCTGAAACCCATAAGCACGCATCCTCTGGCGAGACTGGAAAACTAAAGAAACCTCAGGTGCACTGGCTGCTGTCCCACACACACACACACACACACACACACACACACACACACACCCTGCCCGGCCCTGCTGCTCAGGCCACCAGCACTTCTCAGACCCAGGGCCCGTGGTGCATTTGTAAGGCAACGGCCTGGGGTGCCCGTGTCAGGGTTGGGGAGGTGTGGCTGGTCCCACATCAACTGTCGGGGCCTTTGGGGTCAGAAGCCTCGCCTGGAGCCTCGGGCTGGGGAAGAGTGGCAGGCAGCTGCGGGGGCCCACCCTCGCCATGCCGGCCTAAGACCAGGCTGCAGCCCCTCCTGCCCACCGTCCCCACGTGGAGTTCTGCCAGCGGGTGAAGTGGCCCCATTCATGCCTGTGCTTCTACGTAGGGACCTTGGTCGGTCTGGGTCTCCCCACGACTGTGTCTGGCACACAGTAGGTCCTCAGTAGGTGTCTCTGGCATTCTCACTCATCCATGGGTGCTGCGGCCCAGAGTGGGGGCAGAACAGAGCCAACTCTGGGCTCCTGGACCTCACACTCCACGCCTACCCACCTCTCCCTGAAGCTCAGCCCGGTCCTCCCAGGGGACCCTTGCAGAGGGACACGTCCTGCCTGCGGCTGCACTGGCCTTGGGGAGCCTGGAGCGGTTTTGGGAGGGGAACTGCGTGTGGAGGGCTGAGTGGGACAGGGCCGGGGCCTGTATGCTTAACCTTCTTTCTGCAAAAGATGGCGATGATGGATGAATGGACAAGAGATGGCAGGTGAACTGATTGGTAGGTGATAGGTGGATAGATACAGAAGATAATTGAATACTTGGTCAACAGAGAAAAGAGACGTGGATACATAAGTGATAGGTGATAGATGAAAGATCAACAGACATAAATGCCAGACAGGAGAAGACGGACAGACGGGGGGGAGGGGGGGGGGCGGTGAGGAAGCAGCTCCGTCCTTTCGGAGAGAGCTGGGCGGGCCTCTGCGCCCGGGCGCCCTGCAGGCATCTCCTCGCTCAGGGCGGGGTGGGGCCCAAGGGTGTCCTCGTGCACCCCAGCACACCATGTCCACTCACGCCTGGCTGACCCGCGGTGTCTAGGCCTGGCTCCCTCTCCGGGCTCTTCACCCTCACCTTCCACACTCAAGACGCCAGCCCACATGAAGGAGAGAGGGAGAGGGAGGCCAGGGCAGGCCCTCTCGCCCCCGGGTGGGGCCAGGGGACCGAGAAGGGGCCTCCCTGGCCCAGCAGCCTGCCCTTGGGGTCCTCTCAGCAGGAGATGAGGGGCCCAGCTGCCCCCTGGCCAGTGCTGACGGAGGGCCCCAGTCCCTAGAGGGGTCCCCTTCTTGCCCCTGCTATACAGGGGAGCCAATCCAGGCTCCAGGGGCAGGCCTAGGGCGGGACAGGCCCACCAGCCCTTCATCCTGAGCCCTGCAAGCCGGGCCCTGTCTGTGAGACTGTGGGTCCAGGGCCCGCCTGGCAGAGTCCTGACCCGGGGCCTAGTATGGCTGGGGTTCATGCAGAAGTTTGGGGGGTACAAGGAAGCATGGCGGGCTCTCTTGGAGCGCTGCCTCTGAGCTGAGTCAGTGGGAGCGTAAACAAGCCATTCCAGCAGCGTCAGCGCCCTGCGAGGCTGGTGCCCGCAGCCTCCGGCCCCTTCACCAAGGGGAACCCCGTGTTGTGCAAGATGCAGCTGCATTTTGGGCTCTGAAAACAAGTGCTTGTCATACAGCTTGTACCAGCTTGGGCCAGAGCCACTGGGACCCAACTCTGCCCCTCGGTTCAGAACTGTGTCAGTGGCGGTTTGCTCAGTTTTTTTTTTTTAAATTATTATTATCATTATTATTATTATTATTATTATTATTATTATTATTACTAGAGGCCCGGGGCATAAAATCAGCCTCGCCTGAACTCTCTCTAATCTGGGACCCCTCAGGGGATGTCAGACTGAAGGTTTAGGCCCGATCCTGTCGGACAGCCCACTCACAATCCAGGACCGCTGACTCCTAACCACTTGGCTGCCCCCTAACTGCTTCCCCCTAACTGCTCCTCTGCCAGCCTGGTCACCCCCAAGGCTTTTATTAATATAGATATGACCCTGCACAGAAAATTTTACTAACCCTGCTTTACAATAAGGGCTTGAGGATTGAATCATTGGGACCAGATACCAAGATTTCCTTTCTTTGAATAGTGGAGGGAATAATTATCTTGTCTTTAACATGCCCTGAAGTTAAAATGATAATGACTTAGAAAAGTATAAAAGCACCATATAAAGACAACTGTCTTTTTCATGAACTGAAAAGACAATAAAGTGGTAAAATGAAAAACACTATATTTTATTCTCCCCCTTCCTTCCTTTACTGCCTTTATTTAAACTTTGAAATTTATAAAAATTTCACTCCAATTTTCATTGCTTTACATTCAATATTACTTTGTATTGGTTTCAGGTTTATATTAGTTACAGAATAGTGGTTAGACAATCGTATACTTTACAAAGTGTTCCCTGATATTTCCAGGACCCAGTTGGCATCATACCATCATTATAACACATTGACTGTATTCCCTATTTGTGACAATGGGTTTACAGGTTCCTTCCAGTCTTTCTTTTGTGTTGCTTGTCCTTCCTTTTCTTTCTCACTTCTTCCCTCACTCTCCTTATATAGTATGGGTGCCCACCCTGGGCGTTGGGGTGGAGGGCGCCGACCTCAGTGAGCACATCCTGAGGGGTGTCCCCACCAGCCCCCCACGGCGCCGCCTGGACGTGAGGGGCCTCTGGGGGAGCCGGCCACCGGAGGCTCACTGCCTGCGGGCACGGGCGGGCGTGTCGCTGACACGCGTGAAGGCGGGTCTCACGGTGCCAGACACACGGTCTCCATTGGGGCCCCGCCGTGGCCCCAGCAAGACTGTTCTCTGTTCCCGGAAGCCGGGCCTGGCGCTGCGGCCTCCGCGTCCAGTGCTCCCGGCGCCTCCAGGAGGGCGGCTCCACCCACAGGGCAGAGCTCTGGTCCTTCCTTCACCATCAGCTTCTCTGCAGCTCCCTTCTCCTCACCAGCTCCCGACGCCAGCGCCTCGCAGCGCACCCCTCGCTCCCGCTCCCGGGGAGTGAGTGCGGACTCCCGAGTGGGTCCCGTGGGCTCCCGCTTGGAAGCTCTGTCTCTGCTCGCGTTCCAGATCGCGGCCGAGGCGCCGCCTGGCGAGCAGTGGCCTGGCTCTCGACCTTTGCAACCTTGCTCGTCATCTCTGCCTTCCTCCCAGGCGTCACTCAGTGTCCCTCACTGCTTCGGCGGTGGACCTGCTTGCTGAGCGGCCACAATGAACAGAACATGAGAATGAATCGAGCGCCAGAGAAAATGATGCGCCCGAGACGCGGTAAACAAGACGCACGAGGCTGTGGCCGGCTTAGCTTGGCTTACTGTTTACAGCAACCTTTTTCTTTTATAAGTAGGAACAGGACAGAGGTCCGCTACAACCCTATATATTGAGTAATAAAAGGTAATATGCAAATTGACCCGAACGGCAGAACGACCACTTGGCCAGTCACTAGGAGGCGCACTGACCACCTCTCGGTCCCTTTCCTCCGGCCGGCAGGCTCTGATTGCTGACGGCGAAGGGGGAGCCAGGGGTGGGTGGCATTGGGGGGCGGGCCGGCTGTAGGCAGTGGGGGGGAGATGGGCCGACAGCAGGCCAGGCCTAGGGATGGTCACCCACACAGAATTTCGTGCGCCAGGCCTCTGAGAAGATGTATGAATAGTGAACATATGTTATTATCAGAGACTACTGATAATAACATATGTTCACTATTACTGTGCACAGCTGCATGTGCTGCACATGTTCTGTGACCCGCAGCCGGCCCGTGAATGATGCCCGCCTACGACGCTCCAGGCGAGAGGAACTTGAGGCTCCGGTCAGATCTATGGCCGTTGCACGTGTGGTCTGTGCAGTGAATGCCGTGCAGCACGTGGACAGTGGGCAGGGCTTCCTGGAGGAGGAGGCATTTTGCCAGGACCGGAGTGGGAGTAGGGGGCCTGGGGAACAGTAGGGAGTGCTCCAGGCAAGGGGGCAGCTCGTCCACAGGCGCAGAGGTGCGGTCACGAGCCTGTCCGTCACCAGCGTGTGGCTGGGAAGTGGGGACATAGTGAGGTCGTGCGGGCGCGTCAACAGGAAGGGCTGGCCTGCGGTCTCCGAGCCGGACGGCCTCACTCACCCTGGTCACCAGCGCTGAGTGACAAGAGGGCGGGCAGCGGGGCCCTGGCACGGCTGCCCTTCTCCCTCCCGGGCCCCAGCCCGGGGGACCTGGCCGCTCCATCAGCTCCGGGCAGCGGGCAGGCCCGTCGGGCCGAGAACTGAGGACGCTCCAAGGCAGCCTGGGCTCCAGGGTGGGCTGGGGCCGTGGATAAAAGGAAAAGTCAGGAGTCACAGGAAGTGGTCCAGCCCAGCCAGAGACAAGCACCCGGCCTCACAGCTCCCAGGCAGTCCAGCCCTGGGACAGCACTGAGCACACCTCACACAAGAAGGAACCCGTGGGCCTCGTGGGCCTGAGGTGAGGGGCAGCTGGGCCCCTTGTCTGTCAGACCTGCATCTGTCCGTCCAGGCTGCTGTGATGGAGTCCACAGCCTGGGCAGCTTAGACCTAGGTTCTCATTTCTCAGTCTGCAGCCTGCAGACGGGTGTCTGCCCCATGCCCCCTGCAGCCTCTGCCCTCTGCCCCTGCCCCCTGGGGCCTCTGCCCCTTCCCCTTGCCATCTCTGTCAGTCACCTTCACATGGACATCGCATCCCTGTCTCCTTTCCCAGCTGTCTGCCCGTCACCTTCCCCAGCTGTCTGCCCGTCACCTTCCCCAGCTGTCTGTCATCATTCCCCAGCTGTCACCTTCCCCAGCTGTCTGCCCGTCTCCTTCCCCAGCTGTCTGTCACCTTCCCCAGCTGTCTGTCACCTTCCCCAGCTGTCTGCCCGTCTCCTTCCCCAGCTGTCTGTCACCTTCCCCAGCTGTCTGTCACCTTCCCCAGCTGTCTGTCACCTTCCCCAGCTGTCTGCCCGTCACCATCCCCAGCTGTCCGCCCCTCACCTTCCCCAGCTGTCCGCCCGTCACCTTCCCCAGCTGTCTGTCACCTTCCCCAGCTGTCTGCCCGTCATCATTCCCCAGCTGTCTGTCACCTTCCCCAGCTGTCTGTCACCTTCCCCAGCTGTCATCATTCCCCAGCTGTCTGTCACCTTCCCCAACTGTCTGCCCGTCACCATCCCCAGCTGTCTGTCACCATCCCCAGCTGTCTGTCACCTTCCCCAGCTGTCTGTCATCATTCCCCAGCTGTCTGTCACCTTCCCCAACTGTCTGCCCGTCACCATCCCCAGCTGTCTGTCACCATCCCCAGCTGTCTGTCACCTTCCCCAGCTGTCTGTCATCATTCCCCAGCTGTCTGTCACCTTCCCCAACTGTCTGCCCGTCACCATCCCCAGCTGTCTGTCACCATCCCCAGCTGTCTGTCACCTTCCCCAGCTGTCTGTCACCATCCCCAGCTGTCTGTCACCTTCCCCAGCTGTCTGTCACCTTCCCCAGCTGTCTGTCATCATTCCCCAGCTGTCTGTCACCTTCCCCAGCTGTCTGTCACCTTCCCCAACTGTCTGCCCGTCACCATCCCCAGCTGTCTGTCACCTTCCCCAGCTGTCTGCCCGTCACCATCCCCAGCTGTCACCATCCCCAGCTGTCCGTCACCTTCCCCAGCTGTCTGCCCGTCTCCTTCCCCAGCTGTGTCTCAGGGCACAGGAAAGCATGGACACGCCCCCTTCTGCCCACAGACCTTCACTCAGGAGCCAGGACCTTGCCGGGCCATGGTGGGAGCAGCTGCAGGTGGACAGGCTGTGCCAGGCTGAGCGCAGGGGTCTGCTGGCCTGCGCAGCCCAGCCCAGCTCACCCGGAAGCGGACAGGCACTAGTCCCGGCTCGCCCTGGGCCTCTGGGGCCATGGGAGACGGCTCACTTGGGGCTGGAGCGCCACACATTTCCCACTGGGGAGGGGCGGCAGGCTCACTGCGGCCTTCACCCTGACCTGAGCCAGGCCCAGAGGCGTCCCCTCGCCCACCTGCCCTCTGGGGCCATAACTGCTCCCGCTGCCACAGAAGCCTGCCTGGGCCACGGGAGGGACACGCAGGGACAGTGGCCGGGCAGTGCTGCCCAGGGTGCCGAGGTGCCCACGTGCAGGTGCCCGTTCTGCAGCCCCGAGGGGTGGAGCGAGTGGCCGGCCGCTGTCCTGCCGCCTGGCACGGAGAGGCCCTGCACCACTTCCTGAGGGCAGACGCGTGTCCTGGAGCCGGTTCCTCTGTGCCTCGTGCCTCCGGAAACATCCGTGGAAAACACAAACTCACGATTCCTGAGTTGACAAATATGCTTCTGTTTCCCCAATTGGGGGGCGGGGGGCAAGAGGGAGACAATTTCAGGAGGACCCATCAGGCCAGGCCAAGGCCAAGGCTGCTCTCCATGCGTGCACACGTGTACAGAAGAGCTGTGCATGTGTTTGCGTGTGGCCTGCATGTGTGACTGCCTGTGTCTGTGCCCTGCACGCCTGGGAGGGCACTGGAGCCCCACCCTTGGCTTCGGTGTGGTGCTTGGCTCCGACCCCCGCTGCTCCCCCTCAGCGTGCGCTGCTCCCTCAGCGTGACTGGAGGAGGGGGGAGGGGGGTCGGGTAGGGGGGGGGGGGGTAAGAGGCAGGAGGGGGCGCGGCTGCACCTGGGCAGGGGCCACACACTGAGGAGGAAGAGGAACAGCAGGGCCAAACCGCAGCAGCTGATCCCGGGCTTAAGGAGCCAGGGCTCAGGACCTGGGGAGCACAATGGTGGTTTTCATCTCTAAAACTTCTAGAACGTTCCTTGGGCTGTCTGGATTCTCTTTCTCCTGGGACCCGGACAAGACGTGGTGGGTTTCCAGGCTCCGAGCCACTGCTACCTCCGTCCCCTCCCGTGTGGGTGGGGATGAAGGGCGCTGTGCCTCGGTGCCTGTGGGGCCAGCAGGCCCTGGAAGGCAGCGGGTCTCCTGGGGACGGGGAGGGCGGGGGGGGGCGCGCAAAAATGTGGCTCAGCCTCCACCTCGGCCTCGCTCCGCGCCGATGGCACAGGCTGGGGCCCAGGCGGCGGGGAGTGCTCCCAGCCTGGGCTGGGGCGGTGCAGGCCGCGGGGAGAGGCGTGGGTGTGGGCGTGGAGCTCAGGGAGCAGCGGGAGGGGGGGGGGGGGGCTGCGCAGGGCCTCAGTCAGGATCACCCAGAAGCACTCCTGAGAAGGAAGGGGACCCCCACGTTTAATCACTCCCTGGCCGGAGGAGGTGCCTTCGCAGGGACCGGAGAGCGGGTGCGGCCTTCAGGAGAGGGAGGCCGGCGGGCGGAGGGCTGGTCGTCAGAGGCCGCCCTGCTCGGCCGCCAGGAAGGCCAGCAGGAAGCGGCTGACGTGTCTGTCCATGATGAGCGGCGAGAAGCCCAGGACGCGCCGGGCCGCGGGCGGCACCTTGGGGTCTGGAGCACACGGCGTCTCAGGGCTCTCGGCACTGCCAGCCGCCCGGGTGCTGGGCGCAGCGCCGAGAGGCCGGCAATCTCCAATGCCACAGGCGGCGGCGGGGACGCCCGGGGGCCTCTGCCCACCGTCACGGCCATGACACTGAAGGGGACCCCGGGCCCCATGCAGACAGGGCTTTCCGACCCCTGACCCTGCTTCATGCACCCCTCCTCCCAAAGGGGCCCCATTCTCTGACCCTGGAGGGGTCACCGAGGGCCATTCATCCCCCTGCAGGCTGAGTGGCACCCACCTGGAGGGCACCCACCTGGAGGGCACCCACCTGGAGGGCAGCAGTAGACGAGGAGGGCCAGCCCGGCGGCCAGGCCGAGGCAGGCCAGGAAGGCCATGGGTCCTGGGGGAGCAAGGGGAGCGGCTCTCGCACCTCTAAGACGGGCAGCCCACCACGGAGGGGAGCCCCGGTGGAGGGAGCCCGGTGGGGGAGCCCTGGGGAGGGGGCCCGGTGGGGGGAGCCCAGTGTAGGGAGCCCGTGGGGAGAGCCCCGATGGGGGAGCCCGTGGGGGGAGCCCCGGTGGGGGAGGCCGGGGGGGAGCCCCGATGGGGGAGGCCGGGGGGGGGGAGCCCAGTGTAGGGAGCCCGTGGGGGGAGCCCTGATGGGGGAGGCCAGGGGGGAAACCGTGGGGGGGGCCCCGGGGGGGGAGGCCGGGGGGGAGCCCCGATGGGGGAGCCCGTGGGGGGAGCCCTGATGGGGGAGGCCAGGGGGGAGCCCGTGGGGGGAGCCCCGGTGGGGGAGGCCGGGGGGGAGCCCCGATGGGGGAGGCCGGGGGGGGGAGCCCAGTGTAGGGAGCCCGTGGGGGGAGCCCCGATGGGGGAGCCCGTGGGGGGAGCCCCGGTGGAGGGAGCCCAGTGGGGGAGCCCAGTGTAGGGAGCCTGTGGGGGGAGCCCAGTGTAGGGAGCCCGTGGGGGGAGCCCCGATGGGGGAGCCCGTGGGGGGAGCCCAGTGGGGGGAGCCCCGATGGGGGAGGCCAGGGGGGAGCCCAGTGTAGGGAGCCCGTGGGGGGAGCCCCGATGGGGGAGCCCGTGGGGGGAGCCCCGATGGGGGAGGCCAGGGGGGAGCCCAGTGTAGGGAGCCCGAGGGGGGAGCCCCGATGGGGGAGCCCGTGGGGGGAGCCCAGTGTAGGGAGCCCGGTGGGGGGAGCCCCAATGGGGGAGGCCGGGGGGGAGCCCAGTGTAGGGAGCCCGGTGGGGGGAGCCCCGATGGGGGAGGCCGGGGGGGGGGAGCCCAGTGTAGGGAGCCCGTGGGGGGAGCCCCGATGGGGGAGGCCGGGGGGGGGGGAGCCCTGGGGAGGGGGCGGTTACCCCTGTCGCTGAGTGTGTGGCTGGCGGTGTCCAAGTCCAGGTCGGAGTTCTCTGGGAACGGAAGCAGAGGGCGCGGTTGGTGGGGCAGAGAGGAAAGGAGTTGCTGCCACAGGAGGCCGAGGGGCTGCCGAGGTCCCTCGCCCCCGGCCCCGGGCCCACAGCCGGACCAAGTGTGCTGCTACTGGACTTCGGCCTGTTTGGTGGAGTCGGAGCCGGGAAGGGACCCTGCATAGCTGGGGGTCTCCTGTCCATTTCTGGGGTTCTGGGGGTTGTGAAGGGGGTCACTGTTCCCCGTGACCTTGAGGAGCCTGTCAAAGGTCTGACGATGCCCACACCAGCAGGTGCTTTCTCCCGGGCCGCCCCAAGTGGCCACCTGCCAGACACCCTGAGGGCACCCGTGAGCCGGGCCGCGGGGCCGGGGGGTGCCACGGCTGGCGTGTGGCACTGTGGGTGCTGTGGGCCCGCCGTGGGCAGACGCCACCCCATTCCTGGGCCTCTGACTCCAAAGCACGGACAGTGGCCCCTCCTCCTGGGCCTGGTGCGGAGGCCTCAGGCCTGGGCGGCGTCCGCCAGCCACAGGGACCCAGCGGCACCGGCCAGCTCCCGCAGAAAGGGGAGGGTGCCCACAGGGTTACAGGTGGAGGAGGCAGGTGCTGCCTTTTGTGTAAAAACTGGCACAAAAGAAAGAGACAGAGGCAGAAACAGGAAGACGGACATCTGTGTGGCTTTCACCCTCCCTCCGCCTGGGACCAGAGAGGAGATGGGGTGGGAGGGCCTGGGACCAGGAGGAGATGGGGCGGGAGGGCCTGGGACCAGGAGGAGATGGGGCGGGAGGGCTGGGACCAGGAGGAGATGGGGCAGGAGGGCTGGGACCAGGAGGAGATGGGCGGGAGGGCTGGGACCAGGAGGAGATGGGCGGGAGGGCCTGGGACCAGGAGGAGATGGGCGGGAGGGCCTGGGACCAGGGAGGAGATGGGCGGGAGGGCCTGGGACCAGGGAGGAGGTGGGCGGGAGGGCTGGGACCAGGGAGGAGATGGGGCGGGAGGGCCTGGGACCAGGAGGAGATGGGGCAGGAGGGCTGGGACCAGGAGGAGATGGGCGGGAGGGCCTGGGACCAGGAGGAGGTGGGCGGGAGGGCCTGGGACCAGGAGGAGATGGGCGGGAGGGCTGGGACCAGGAGGAGATGGGCGGGAGGGCCTGGGACCAGGAGGAGATGGTGGGAGGGCTGGGACCAGGGAGGAGATGGGGCAGGAGGGCTGGGACCAGGGAGGAGATGGGCGGGAGGGCCTGGGACCAGGAGGAGATGGGGCAGGAGGGCTGGGACCAGGGAGGAGATGGGCGGGAGGGCCCGGGACCAGAGAGAAGATGGGGCAGGAGGGCTGGGACCAGAGAGGAGATGGGCGGGAGGTCCTGGGACCAGGTAGGAGATGGGGCAGGAGGGCTGGGACCAGGGAGGAGGGGGGCGGGAGGGCTGGGACCAGGAGGAGGTGGGCGGGAGGACCTGGGACCAGAGAGGAGATGGTGAGAGGGCTGGGACCAGGGAGGAGATAGGCGGGAGGGCTGGGACCAGGGAGGAGGTGGGCGGGAGGTCCTGGGACCAGGTAGGAGATGGGGCAGGAGGGCTGGGACCAGGGAGGAGGTGGGCGGGAGGGCTGGGACCAGGAGGAGGTGGGCGGGAGGGCCTGGGACCAGGGAGGAGATGGGGCAGGAGGGCTGGGACCAGGAGGAGATGGGCGGGAGGGCTGGGACCAGGAGGAGATGGGCGGGAGGGCCTGGGACCAGGAGGAGATGGGGCAGGAGGGCTGGGACCAGAGAGAAGATGGGGCAGGAGGGCTGGGACCAGAGAGGAGATGGGGCAGGAGGGCTGGGACCAGGAGGAGATGGGCGGGAGGCCTGGGACCAGGGAGGAGGTGGGCGGGAGGGCCTGGGACCAGGGAGGAGGTGGGCGGGAGGGCCTGGGACCAGGAGGAGATGGGGCGGGAGGGCCTGGGACCAGGAGGAGATGGGCGGGAGGGCCTGGGACCAGGAGGAGATGGGGCAGGAGGGCTGGGACCAGGGAGGAGGTGGGCGGGAGGGCTGGGACCAGAGAGGAGATGGGGCGCGAGGGCCTGGGACCAGGGAGGAGGTGGCAGGAGGGCTGGGACCAGGGAGGAGATGGGCGGGAGGGCTGGGACCAGGGAGGAGATGGTGAGAGGGCTGGGACCAGGGAGGAGATGGGCGGGAGGACCTGGGACCAGAGAGGAGATGGTGAGAGGGCTGGGACCAGGGAGGAGATAGGCGGGAGGGCTGGGACCAGGGAGGAGGTGGGCGGGAGGGCTGGGACCAGGGAGGAGGTGGGCGGGAGGTCCTGGGACCAGGTAGGAGATGGGGCAGGAGGGCTGGGACCAGGGAGGAGGTGGGCGGGAGGGCGGGGACCAGGGAGGAGGTGGGCGGGAGGGCCTGGGACCAGGAGGAGATGGGGCAGGAGGGCTGGGACCAGGGAGGAGGTGGGCGGGAGGGCTGGGACCAGAGAGGAGATGGGACGGGAGGGCCTGGGACCAGGGAGGAGGTGGCGGGAGGGCTGGGACCAGGGAGGAGATGGGCGGGAGGGCTGGGACCAGGGAGGAGATGGTGAGAGGGCTGGGACCAGGGAGGAGATGGGCGGGAGGACCTGGGACCAGAGAGGAGATGGTGAGAGGGCTGGGACCAGGGAGGAGATAGGCGGGAGGGAGGAGGTGGGCGGGAGGGCTGGGACCAGGGAGGAGGTGGGCGGGAGGTCCTGGGACCAGGTAGGAGATGGGGCAGGAGGGCTGGGACCAGGGAGGAGGTGGGCGGGAGGGCTGGGACCAGGGAGGAGGTGGGCGGGAGGGCTGGGACCAGGTAGGAGATGGGGCAGGAGGGCTGGGACCAGGGAGGAGGTGGGCGGGAGGGCCTGGGACCACGGAGGAGGTGGGCGGGAGGGCCTGGGACCACGGAGGAGGTGGGTGGGAGGGCCTGGGACCACGTAGGAGGTGGCGGGAGGGCCTGGGACCACGTAGGAGGTGGCGGGAGGGCCTGGGACCAGAGAGGAGATGGGGTGAGAGGGCCTGGGACCATGTAGGAGGTGGCGGGAGGGCCTGGGACCAGGGAGGAGATGGTGGGAGGGCCTGGCGAGGCCGGCGGTGCACTCACGCCTGCTGTGCCGGCTGGGCAGGCTGCCGTGCAGGGGCTGCGCGTGGATGTAGAGGGCGCGGTAGAACTCCTGGCAGTCCCGCTCGCTGCTCCGCTGCAGGTGGCCCAGCAGGTCACAGAGCCGGACGCGCAGGGACGCCCTGGGGTTCCGGAACTGGCAGAGGGCAGAGGGTGGTCACCGGGCTGTGCCCACCCTCCCCGCTGGCTCCCCTCTCTCCTGGGAGGTGCCTCCGAACACCCCCCATCACAGCACGCTGCTCCCCGCACTCCCGGGCCGGGAGGCCAGCCACCACGGAAGGCGGCAGGGACAGGAGCTGTGTGGAAACCCCGTGCTCCTGATGAAAAGGGAGTGCGGAGCCCCCTGCAGGGCTGTGGTGACAGCACAACTTCAGCGGTTTGTCGTCTACAGGAATCCGATGCGAGCCTTTAAAAAGGCGTAAGGAGAAAAGAATCGGCTCGTCTGATGTGTATGATGGAGAAATGTGTGCGTCTGAAGGCCAGTGGGCAGGGACGTGGCAGTGACCTCCAGGAGCGGGAGGCGGTGGCCTGGTGCTGCCACCTAGTGGCGAAACACCTTTCTACATGGACACAATGGGGAGGTAAGTGCAGGCCTGAGTGTCCCTTTTCCTGTACAGACATGGGAAACTGTTCAGACGGTTTTACAGTGAATGTGCATCAGAGTTTTCATTTCAGCAGCACAACGCAAAAGTGGGCTCCTCCGTTTTCACGTCCTGTGCTACTTCCCCGACTGGAGGAAGCAGCCAGGCCAGTCCCTGCCAGGAGAGGCCCCTGTGCCTGCGGGCGGCGGCTCTGCACCCCAAAGCCCTGGCTGGTCCCTGGCACCACCCAGCCCCACGCGGGAGCAGAGAAGCAGAGATAGCGGGCAAGATCACCCACTCTCACCGGTGTCCACGGACAGCTGGGCCAGGGGACATCTAACAGGCTTCCCGTCCGACCGTCCCCGCTCCCAGGGATGTCACGTGGCGGCGTGTTGTCACATGTCTCCTGTGTCACTTCCAGCCCCGGGTCCAAGGTCACCCCAAAGAGGCCGGCCCGCCCCTCACCTTTTCCGCATCCTTGTTGCTGAGGATCTGGGGGCAGTAGCGGTTCAGCTGCAGGATGATCCTGTCCACCTGCTGCTCGCTCAGGCGCCCGGGGCCCAGCAGGAAAGGCGTGTCCTGCACCAGCCGGTCACAGTAGGTCTGCTCTGAAGCAGGCAGAGAGCAGGCAGGGCCTCAGCCAGTGGGCCCACCACCGAGTGCAGCCTCAGTGCGAACCCCCAGCCGGCCCCGGCCAGGGAGGCATGCCGCGGTAAGCACCGGGACCACGCTGACTCCCGGTCTGACTCCCGGCTGCATGGCCTCAGGACAGCCAGCCTTCCCTGTCCTGCTCGCCATGGGCAGTGAGGGCTGTCCGGAGTGCGGGACGGAGCCTCTGCCCTCTCTTCTCGGAAAACAAACTCAGGGCTAAGATCCTGCTGCTCCCTGGCCCCCACCAAGCCCGCCAGAGAAAGCCAGGCCTGGGAAGGGCTCGGGCAGCCTGGGCGAGGCCCGACCCACCGCTCACAGCTCCATGTGCCGGGCAGAGCGCAGGCTCGGGGCGGTGGCAGGGCCACAGGACCCCAAGTCACAGGAAGACGGCATCGCCCCAGCCTGCTGCGGGGGCCGCGTGCTGCCCCGGTGCCAGGGAAGGCTGCTGCTTTTGTCTCTTCTTCCAGAATCACCATGCAAACATCTCTGCTGCACCTTCTCTCCATCAAGAACATTCTTCTCGGGAAGGGGGGGGGCAATGTTAAAATATGTACACAGATAATAATTAAAAAAAAAAAAAAGAAACATTCTCAATGACAGCCTTTAAAGACGAAGGTGGGGCACAGGCTGGCGGGGGGCACAGGGTCTCCCAGGGAGGATGCTGAGTCCCCGAGCGCCAGCTGCCTGGACAGACGCACCACCTCACTTACCGGCCTGTGCCAGCTGGTCCCGTTCCCTGCTCGGCACGGGCTGGGGGCGGGCAGAGCTGGACAGGAGAGTTTTTGTATGTGATTGGAGTGAAGTTGATACCAATTCAAATCAGATGGTTGTAAGTTTAGGAGGGTATGTATGATCTCATGGTAACCACAAAGAAAATAGCCACACTGTATTGTTACTACAAAAGCCAACTAGACACAAAGATGGCAGCCGTTGAAGGACAAAAGAGCTACAAGACACACAGAAAAGAAATAGCCGAGGCAGAAGCAGTTATTTACATCAGTAATTGCTTTACATCTAAATATTAAATTGTCCAATCAAAGCAGAGACTGGCAAAGTGGATCTGTAATGTTATGATTTATAAGAAATGTATATTTGGTCTTTGTCCCGCTTCCTGGCACACAGTTCCTGAAACCCTGGAATTTTTCCTTTTTTTTTTTTAATCATCACCCAAGGATATTTTTCCCATTGATTTCTATGAAAGGCGGGGGGAGGTCGGGGGTGGGGGGCGTAGACATGAGAGAGACACATGGATTGGTTGTCTCCGGGGCTGGAGAACCTGCAACCGAACTATGTGCCCTCACCGAACCCACGACCCTTCTGCTCTGACTACTGAGCAAAACCGCCCAGGCAGAAAGTCCTTGCACACACAAACGGCACTCCAACACACAACCACAGAATATATGTTCTCCTCAAGTGCACATGCACATTCTCCAAGGTAGACGTCAAAACAAGTTTGGCCACAAAACAAGTCTTAATTGATTTAAAAATATTGAAATTATACAAAGGATCTTTCTGATCACAGGGAATAAAGCTAGAAATCAATAACAGAAGGGACACTGAAAAATTCACAAGTATGTGAAAATAAAATAACCAACAAATCAAAGTCTCAAGGGAAATTAGAAAATACCTTGAAACAAATGAAAACCCCCCCACAGCTTATCAAAACTTAAGGGATGCAGTGAAAGCAGTGCTGAGAGGGGAGTTTATAGAAGAAATATCTTAACTGCCTAACCTAAAGCTTCAGGAAACTTAAAAAATAAAAATAAATAAAAAATAAAGAGCAAGCTAAACCCAGAGAGGCAGGAGGAAGGAAATAATGAAGATTAGGGTGCAGCCAGCCGGTGCAGCTCAGTCGACCTATGAGCCAGGAGATCACAGTTCGATTCCAGTCAAGGCGGATGCCTGGTTTTGTACTCAATCCCCAAATAGTGCAGGAGGCAGCTGATACATGTAAATTATTTTCTCTTGTGATGTTTCTTTCTCTTTCTCCCTCTCCCTTCCTCTCTCTGAAATCAATTAAAAAATATTTTAAAAATATTAGTGAGGATAAATTAAATAGAGAAAAAAATAGTAAAAAAAATCAACAAAATTGATATACCTTTAGCCAAACTAACAACAACAACAAAAAGACTCAAATTACTAACAGCAGAATTTACTACCAATTTTACAGGAGGTGGGGCGGGGGGACAGCTTATAATAGAGCACTATAAACATCTGGATGACAACAAATTGGACAACCTAGATAAAATGAACGAATTCCTAAAAACACACACTCTACCAAAGCTAACTCATGAAAAAACAGAAAGTCTGAATAGATGTGTAACAGGTAAGGAGACTAAATCAGTAATCAAAATTGTTCCAGCAAGTAAAAGCCCAGGAGCAGACAGCTTCACTGGTGAATTCCACCAACATTTAAAGAACTAGCACCAATCCCTCTCAAACTCCCAAACAACTGGAGAGGAAGGATCACTCCACTCTGGCTTTGGTAGCAAAGTCCATCCAGCTTTACTCTGATACCAAAGCCAGACAAAGACACTACAAGGAAGCTACAGACTAATATTGCTTATGAATGCTGATGTAAAAGCCTCAGCAAAATACTAGCCAATTTAATTCAGCAGCATGTTAAAAGAATTTATTCCAGGCACAGTGGCATGGCTCGGTGGTTGAGCATCAACCTATGAACCAGAAGGTCGATCCCCAGGAGGTGGTGTGCAGGGGGCAGCCAATCAATGATTCTCTCTCGTCATTGATGTTCCTATCTCTCTCTCCCTCTCCTGTTCTCTCTGAAATCAATAAAAATATATGTATTTGAAAAAAAATTTTATTCCAAGAATGCAAGGATGGTTCAACATATGAAAACCATTACTATAATAGATCACATTAATAGAAGAAAAACCAAAGATCATCTCAAGTGATGCAAAAAACAATTTGACAAAATTTAATACACTTTCTTGATTTAAAAAAACACACAATACATTAGAAATAGAAGAAGTTTCTCAACATAATAAAGGTCATATAGGAAAAGTCTAGAGCATGATGAAAGACTAAAGCTTTTCCTCTAAGATAAGAAATAAGACAAGGATACCCACTCTCACTATTTTTTATTCAACATAGTACTAGAAGTCCTCATCAGAGAAATTAGGCAAGAAAAGTGGGGGGGGGAAGCATTCATTTGGAAAGGAAGAAGTAAAATTATCTCTGTTTGCAGATGACATGATCTTATATATAGAAAACGCCAATGTTTTTTAAAAAGACACCTCTTAGAACTAATATATTCACAGCAAAGGTGCAAGATATAAAATCAACACACACAAACCAGTTGAGCTTTTTTATACACTAATAGTGAAAAGTAAAAAATAACACAATTCAATTTATAGTAGTATAAATAAGAATAGAATACTAAGGAATAAGTTTAACCAATGAGGTGAAAGACTGGTACACTGAAAATTACAAAAAGAATTGCTGAATGAAGTGAAATAAGACATAAATAAATGAAAAGATATCCCATGTTCATAGATTAGAAGACTTAATATTGTGAAGATGACGACACTACCCAAAGTGATCTGCAAATTCAATATAATCCCAATCTAAATCCCAATGATGATTTTTGCAGAAACAGAAAAAGCATCCTAGAATTCATATATAAAGAAACCTTCATATCAAAAACAATACTGAAAAATAACAAAGTCGGAGGACTCACACTTCCTAATTTCAAAACTTAAAAGCTACAAGAATCAAAACAGCGTGCTGGTGGCATAAAGACAGACATATAGACCAATGGACTAGAATAAAGAGTCCAGAAATAAATAGTATTTTGAGTGGAAAAAAACAGAGTGAAAAAGATAACCCACAGAATCGGAAGAAAATATCTGTAAAGCATATATCTAATAAGGGAATGATATTCAGAACATATAAAGAACTTCTAAAACCCAACGACAACAAAAACATAAACAATACAATTAAAAAATAGGCATAGTATTCGAATAGGAATTTCTCCAAAGATATATCTACAAGTGGGTACTTATCACATGAAAAGTTGCTCTATCATTAGTCATTAGAGAAATGCAAATCAAACCACAATGAGATATCAGTTCATATTATTAGGGTGACTATCCTTGCATTCTCCTTTAATGTGCTGCTGAATTCAGTGTGATATATACACGTGGAGAATGAAGATATAAAAATTGGAATTCTCATGCATTGCTGGTGGGCATGTAAAATGGGGCAGCCACTGTGGGAAAAGAGTATGATAGCTCCTCAAAAAGCTAAACACAGAATTGTCATATAATTGAGCAATCCCACTTCTAGGTATATACTAAAAGAATTTAGCCCTGGCCAGGCAGCTCAGTTGGTAGAGTGCCATTGCGATACACCAAATCAGGCACACAAGAGTCAACCAATGATTACATAAAAAAGTAGAACCACCAATTGATGTCTCTCTCTCTCTTTCCCCCTCACTTTCTCTCTCTAAAATCAACAAATGAATAAAAAGGAAAAAGATAATTACTCAAACAGCTACTTGAATAAACATCCATGTTCAGAGTAGCATTATTCACAATAGCCAAAAGGTGCAACAGCTAATGGAGGAATGAGTAGACAGAATGTGGCCTCAGAAAGAAGGAGACGCTGGTGCCTGCTATGGGTGGACACTAGAACATTATGCTAAGTTTAAATAAGTCAGACACCGAAGGGCAAACATGTGTGACTCCATGTATGTGACATATCCGGAACAGGCAAACTCTAGAAAGAGAAAGTAAGCTCAGGAGCCGGGCATGGAAGAAAGAGGTGTTACTGTTTATTGGGGAGAGAGTTTCTGCTTGATAAAAAAGTTCTAGAAATGGACAGCAGTGATGGTTTCACAACACGTGTGAATGTATAATGCCACTGAAATGCTGTTAAAGTGGTATAACAAAAAAAAGTGAATGGTTATTTAAACTGTGGTTATAACTTGGTGATAAAATACCTATGGAGTCATGAAAAGATGAGGAGGAACAAATGCATATTTCTAAAAGTGAAAGACACTAATTGAAAAGACTGCATGCTGCACGATTCCAACAGAAAATGCAAAGCCACGGAGACAGGGAAATTTGGCGGCTGCCAGAGGTGAGGGGAAGGGAGTGGCGGACGGATGAGCCAAGGGTTTCAGGGCAGAGGGGCTGCTCGGTGACAATAATGGTGAACACGGGACAGCTGGCATTGTTCAAAACTCGTAGAATGTGCAGCACAGGAGTGAACCCTCACGTAGACTACAGTTAGCACTGACCTATGAAATGGGTTTACCAAGCGCCAAAAATGCAGACTGGTGCAGGATGTCAACAATCCTGGGAGCTGAAGTGGGTGGGGCGGAGCCTCTGTACTATTTGCTCAATTTTCTATGAACTAAAACTGCCCTGAAACAAAGCTAGTAATTAAGAGAAACCCCAGTGGGAAATGCTGAATTTAAAGCAGGCAGGTGCCCGGCGGGGGATGCGGACGGAGCACGCACGCCAGCGGTGTGACGGAGATGACGGAGGTGTGACGGGCCGCACAGTCGTCCCATGTGCACGCACTTGTCCAAACGTATCAATTATTCACTAAAAACGATCATTTCCTTATAAGAAATTTATACCCAGTAAAGGAGGTTTTTAAAACGGGGTCACGCCAAAACCGGTTTGGCTCAGTGGATAGAGCGTCAGCCTGCGGACTGAAGGGTCCCAGGTTGATTCTGGCCAAGGGCATGTACCTGGTGGCAGACACATCCCCAGTAGGAGGTGTGCAGGAGGCAGCTTGTCAATGTCACTCTCTCATCGATGTTTCTAACTTTCTATCTCTCTCCTTTCCTCTCTGTAAAAAAACCAAAAAAATATATTTAAAAAATAAAAAATAAAAATAAAAACGGGGTTACCACGTTGGAACAAGTGGGTCTCCTCCCCATTTCCCTCTGTGGGGCTGACAAGCAGACCATTTGCATTCCTCATCTTGCTCTCCCAGTGCCCACTTTCACTGGGTCTTTTTACCCTAGAAAACAAGTCCTAGCTTCTAAATTCTCCCAGCCCCGAAATCTGCGTGAACACAGACACCAGCAGCCCCATCGCAGTGAGCGAGTGGCACAGGCTGCAGGGGCCTGCCAGCCCCAGAGCGCCAGGGCCTGCGGCTCCATCGCCAGGCCCGCGGCTCCGAGTGCGCAGTCTACAGACAGGCCGTCTGGTCCTTGGGGCAGTGCGAGCACACCCTCCCCTGATGTCAGCCAGGGAAACCGAGGCACAGCAAGGACAACTCAGCCAGCGAGGGAGTGATGGATCAGGTGGACCCAACACCTCTCACATCCAGAATCTCTGCCCATTGAGTGACTGCGAACGAGCCGTGCCCTCAGCTGTGTCTTGTCTGCTGCTCAGCGGCCCCCAGGGCAGGCCCAGCCTCCTGCCCAGCCTGTGCCTGTGCGCGCTGCCCTGCAGCCACTCACCAGAACCCGGTGATCGGGCGCCGGTCGCTCACCAAGGCCGGTGCCTGCAGCAGCTCCTCTAGCCCCGGGCCAACAGCCAGGTGGGCCGCTGCCCGGGAACCACCGGCACAGGGCCCGGCGTGGGAGGGGGCGCACAGGGGCCGGCGTGGGAGGGGCCGCACAGGGCCCGGCGTGGGACGGGGCGCACAGGGCCCGGCGTGGGAGGGGGCGCACAGGGCCCGGCGTGAGAGGGGGCGCACAGGGCCCGGCGTGGGAGGGGGCGCACAGGGCCCGGCGTGGGAGGGGGCGCACAGGGCCCGGCGTGGGAGGGGGCGCACAGGGCCCGGCGTGGGAGGGGCCGCACAGGGCCCGGCGTGGGACGGGCCGCACAGGGCCCGGCGTGGGAGGGGGCGCACAGGGCCCGGCGTGGGAGGGGGCGCACAGGGCCCGGCGTGGGACGGGCCGCACAGGGCCTGGCGTGGGAGGGGGCCCGGCGTGGGAGGGGGCGCACAGGGCCCGGCGTTGGAGGGGGCCGCAGGCTCTGCTGCTCCCTGTGGCCGCTGTACACTGCACGCACACCACACCGGCGGCCTCGGAGGCACGGAAAGGACCGGAACAGGAAACCACTGTGGTCTGGGTCCTGACACACCGCCAGGTGGTTTTACAGGATAAAGGAGGAAAATGCTCTGGTACAAAACCCACCAGGTTTTGCCAGCTCCCTCTGCCAAGCCCCACCTCCCTGCCCCGCGGGCACTAGAACTACAGACCCGTTACACCGCCTGTACAGTGGCCTGGCGGGAGCCCGCCCCCTGCTCTCTCCTGGCCCCAGCCCCCGCCGCACACACCGCCCCCGCCCCCAGGCCTTGCCCCACACACTGCAGATGCTGGGGCTTCAGCCTCCCCTCCCGAATGGAATCTCCCCGGATTCCCTCCTGTCTCAGGGTCCCACCTGGCCTTGGGCACCAAAGAGCTGAGCTGAGATTGCTCACTCTCTAGCATACCACACGGCAGGGCCTGACCCCACAGCCACCGGACGGCACCGGCACCAGCCGAGGCACACCGCAGTCCCGTGGGCCCCACACTCACTCCACAACCCTCCCGGAGGCGGGACCAGCAGGCAGGCCGGTCAGCGCACAGGGCGTGGGCCAGGGAGGACAGGCCACAGCCAGGCGGGCTGCCATCGGATGCTCCAGGCTGTGCTCGCAGTTCCCCACCCCAGACAGAAGGGCTGGGTGGAGAGGGCCCAGTCCAGCACACAGAGATGGCGGGAGAGGGGTGAGGGGAGGACCCGGCTCTAGTCCCGGTTCTGCCGCGGGCACCTGGTCTCTGCCTAATCTGAGCCCACAGACACAGCCCACACGTCCCCACAGTGCTGCCGATGGCGAGGGCCCACTGCAGGGTCAGGAGCATGTTGGGTGCTCAGAAACGGCAGCCACAAGTAGCAGGGTTCAGAGGAATGATGGGAGGAGCAGGTGACAGCTGGGTCCCTTCCGGCCTAGACTGGGGCTTGGCATCCAGGAAGTCACCAGGTTCCAGCCCAGGAAGTCCTGTGTGTGCAGGATCCATTCTGAGGCTCCAGGGAGTTCTGGGGGGAAAGGAAGGGGACTTCTGGGCACCCCCAGGTGACTGCTGTCCCATGAGGCAGAAGATGGGCCCTCAGGGATGAGGTGTGACTCCTGGGAGCCCCACATTCCCTGACCACTCTGCATGGGACTGCGTGGCCCCTTGGGGCTTCTCCACCTGGGAGGGTCCACAGAACAGTGTGGCCCTGCTTGCTAGGTCCCGAGTGAGTTGAGAGCTCCAGTTCAGAGGTACGGGAGGAGAGGGTAGTTGCTAGAGGCTCACCCTGTCCCTGCGCTGCTAGGAGGACAGCGCAGGGGGTGCCAGTCTCTGGTCCCACAGCCCGGAGCGCCGCGCAGCGCGGCCCAGGAGGCAGGCCGGGGAGCCCGCCACGCCCCCTGGAAGCACAGCAGGACCCAGAGCTCACCTCCCTCCGGTGGGGGCATCCTCACCAGCGCCGCCTCGCCCCAGGAGAGCCCTGGCCGGCCGAGCCCTCCAGGCCTGACCACGCCCTCGGCCCCGTAGCGCCGCCGAGCGGGAAGGTGGTCACAGGCTCGCGGTCACGTCACGGCCAAGGTCACTGGGGCGAGGCGTGGAGCGGCCCCCAGGGCGACCGGGGGCAGCGGGCCCGGAAGACCACCGGCGTCGCGTGCCCGTCCCGGGGCTGCAGGCACGACCGCAGCCCGCGCTCACCTGTCATGCTGGCCGCACCGGTGCCCGGCGGCACCGACCTGTCCCCGCAGCCCCGTCCTTCCGCGCCGCGGCCGCCCTCACCCCCGCTGACCTCCGCCCACCGCCCCAGGAGGCCTGCCCTCCCGACGGCCCCGCCCCAGCGTCGTGACGTCACTCGCACAACTCACTCATGAGGCCCGGCATTCCCGTTAGGCCCGCCCCTGGGCCCTAACCCCGCCCCTCACCCGCCTTAGCGCCAGCTAAGAGGCCGCCGGAGCCTTAGCCCCGCCCCCAGCTGACAGGGCGTCCTAGGCCGCGTCCGGCCCAAAGCTCTAAGCCCCGCCCTCCCCTACAAGCCCCCGGCGACGTCCCGCCCACGCCCTGAACCGTCCTCACGGGCCCCGCCCGCAAGCACGGATTCTCCAGCCCTTGGCCCCGCCCCTTGCTCTAGCCACGCCCCCAGCCCGAGGCCGCCTCTGGGCGCGCCGGCGCCGCTCCCCGGCCCGCGCACCCTCCCGGGCTCCCTCCGCACTGGTCCCTCCTGGCAGCCTGGGCTCAAGGGCTGCAGGGCTGTGCAGGAGGTTACTCTCACCTCAATGTTTCCTCCTCCTCTCTCCCTCGCTCTAAAAGTCAATTTAAACCAATATATATATATATATTTTTTTTTTTTTTTTTATTTTTTTTTAAACTGAGGCTTTAAGAGAGGAAGTGACTTAAGGTAAGGTGACCAGACGTCCCGCTTTTGGAGGGACCCTGGATTTTTAACAATTTGTCCCGTGGTGTTTTTAAAAAGACTCGATTTTTGGAAAGAATGCACGATAGGCTAGGGAATGGCGGGAGAAAGGGAAGGGAATATATGGTTTTCGGCGGCCATGTGGCTATTTAGCCAGGATATGAGTTTTATATTATTTTTGTTAATTTTATAATGTTAAACTTTATTTTTTTAATATTTTTATTTTTTTAATATATTTATTGATTTTTTACAGAGAGGAAGGGAGGGAGAGAGTTAGAAACATCAATGTGAGAAACATCCATCAGCTGCCTCCTGCACACCCTCCACTGGGGATGTGCCCTCAACCAAGGTACATGCACTTCACCGAAATCGAACCCGGGACCCTTGAGTCCGCAGGCCGATGCTCTATCCACTGAGCCAAACCGGTTTTGGCATAATGTTAAACATTAATAATAACAAATAATTGTTGAGAACTGATTATTGAGAACTGCTTATCAAAGTTCGAAACGATGAAAACATTTTGTAACTGTCTCTCAGATGATACACATGATACACATCGTACTGTGTACTACGTGCTAGTAAGCTAGTTAAACAAGTGATGTCATACAAATCAGCTATTCAGATAATTAGGTAAGTTATTTATTTCATAAATACATAATTTTTTTGAATTTAGCAGACAGTATTCATATTACTTATATTTTATAGTGGCGGCAAAAAGTCTAGTGCTGGCTTTGAAAGTGACACGGCTTATGTTAAATTAAGTGTTGAGACTTTGAAAGCCATTTTATGTGTGAAATATAATTTAACAAATTCTTGTGAAAAATGTCATGACCTTTTAAAAGACAGCAATCTACTAAAAAAATTTCACTCAAATGAGAAATGTGCCAAAGAATAAAATAATACTATACATAATTTTTTATTATATTTGTAAATTGTACTTATGTTGAAATTTAAAGAAATATATTACAATACTATTTTTGCATTCTATGAAAATTTTTGTTGCTCCATATAGACCAAATTTTTAATCAAGACCCCCCCCCCAACCCCCACCAATGGTGTCCTGCTTTACCAATGTTAAAATCCGGTCACCTTAACTTAAGGTCATGTAGAAGGTCAGGTCATGGGGGTACCAACTGGAAGCAAAAGGTGGGTGAATGTCTAGCACCCTAAAGGGATCAGCCAAAGAGGGCAGTGCCTGCATCCGAGGCTGAAGATGGACTTGAGTGGGGTACTCCCCTCTCTGGGGCCCCCATCTGAAAAAGGGGGCCACCAGTCTATCAGTGTGACCCTGACTGGTAGGTCATTTAAGTTGCCTGAACCTCAGTTTCCAGTCTGTAAAATGGGTGTCCTTGGACAAATATCTCCTTCCCCAGAGTCCACTCCCTTTCTGTGACAAACCTGGCCTTTCCAGCTCTGTGCCCACCCCAGGAAGCCCCCAGGCCCGCAGACTGCGAACGCACAGGGCTCCCTCCACAGAATGGAGAGCTGTGGGGAAAGGAAAGCAGGGCCTCCCAGCAGCCATTTGGTTTTATACCTGCTTCCTTCTCTGCCCGTGCTGGCTGTCCCCCATTAGCGTGCTCTCATTTGGGATGCTGGGGCTGGACTTGGGGGCTCAAGCTCAGTATTTACTTCTTGGACAGCACAGATGCTCAGGTTCCCACACCCACATGTCCCCCTCCATGTCTATGCCTCAGCTGCCCTCTGTAAAACAGGAGTAGGTTTGTGCAGTTGGGGTATCCAGAGAATGGGTGCAGTTATCTCCTGGACACCCCAAACGCTTGGCCCCCAAATACTGAGGGTGCCCCGGCCCGGCTTCCACCAAAGGCCCAGCCTGAGCCTGCTCTCCTCGGAAAGCCCTGCACAGTCCTGGCAGGGACCTTGGGGGCGGTCCTCTGGCACACAGTAGGACCCAGCCCGAACTCGGTTACCCACGTCTGTCACCCTGTGTCACGGCTCCTAGCATTTACCATTTAGTTCATTTCACCCTCGAGAACAGGGTTGGGCAATCCTTTTTCTGCTCAGGGTCACTGGATATTTACAGCATCATCATGGGCCATAAAAATTATCAACTTAAAAATTAGCTTGCTATATTTGGTCAAACATTGAATGAAATCCCCCCTGATGTGATGGCTAGAACTGCTTCTCTCTGGTGAGGCTTGTGATGTTAGCTGGTATTGATGATATTGCTACTCGCAGCTGCTTTTCCTGGTTTGCTTGTCAGTCTGGAATACAGTGGACTCTGCGACGGTACGTTTTGGAAAGTACTGCTTGCACAGATTAAAAATGGCAGTGGAGTAAGTGGATGCTACACAGAAGCACTCCCAGGAACAAACTGAAATTAAAATTAAAATACAAAAACAAAAAACAAAAACCCATCCTGAAGAGTCAACTGAAGACTAGCTGGAGAGAACCCTGATAAACAAGGAAAGTGGAGACCACACAGAGGCTGGGAGGAAGGGCAGAGAAGCAAAAGGGCTGGCCAGGCTCCCACGGATATATTAAAAAGGTCACATATGATGACCATGAGGATTTATTCCAGGGATGCAAGGCTAGTGCAATATTTACAAATCAATAAATGTGATACATCACATAAACAAAATTAAAAAAATCACATGATCATAGCAATAGATGCAGAAATAGCATTTCCCATTTTTTTTATTAAACTCTCAGAAAAGTGGGAATAAAGGGATCATATCTCAACATAATAAAGGTCATATGTGACAAACCTATAGCCAACATCATACTCAATGTCCAAAAATTATTAAAAATGTTTCCCTTAAGAATAGGAATAAGACCATTTACCATTGCAACAACAACAACAAAATCAAGACACCTAGGAATAAACTTAACCAAGGGGGTAAAAGACTTGTACTCAGAAAACTACAGGGCATTGAAAAAAGAGATAGAGGAAGAAACAAGCGGCAAAATATACCATGTTCATGGATTGGTAGAATTAACCTCATTAATGTCTTTACTACCCAAAGTAACCTATAGATTCAATGCAATCCCTATTAAACTACCAATGGATATTTCACAGATCTACAACAAATACTCCAAAAATTTATAGGGAACTAAGAAAGACCCCGAAAAGCTGAAGCGATCTTGAGAAAGGAGAGCAAAGTTGGAGGATCGCAATACCAGATATCAAGTTATCCTACAAAGCCACTGTACTCAAAACAGCCTGGTTCTGGCACAAGAACAGGGAGACCAATGGACCAGAACAGAGACCCCAGAAACCAACCCAAGCCATTACACTCAGTTACTATCTGACAGAGGAGGCAAGAGCATACAATGGAGTCAAGACAGTCTCTTCAATAAATGGTGTTGGGAATAACTGGACAGATACATGCAAAAAAAAAAAAAAAATGAAACTAGACCACCAACTTACACCATACACAAGAATAAACTCAAAATGGATAAAAAAAACTTAAACATAAGTCATGAAACCATAAAAATCCTAGAAGAAACCACAGGCAGCAAAATGTCAGACAGCTCTCATAGCAGTACAGTTATGGATACAGTATAGTTATGGATCCTAGGGCAAAGGAAACTAAGGAGAAAATAAACAAATGGGACTACATCCAAATAAAAAGCTTCTGCACAGCAAAATAAACCCTCAACAAAATGAAAAGGGAGCCCACTGTATGGGAGAACATATTTGGCAATGATACCTCTGATAAAGGGTTAATATCCAAAATATACAAAGAACTTATACAATTTAACAAAAGGAAGACAAATAATCCTATTAACAAATGAGCAAATGATCTAAATAGACATTTCTCCAAATTGGACATACAGATGGCCAAGAGGCATATGAAAAAACTAGAGGCCCGATGCACAAGTAGGGTCCCTAGGCCTGGCAGGCAATCAGGGCTGACTGGGGCCTTCCTTCCAGCTGCCAGCCCTGGCCTTTCTTTGTTCCACACTGCCCCCTAGTGGTAAGTGCATATCATAGCTTACCAATTGAAATCCTGGTTTCCTGGTCAAACTCCCAAGGGGACACTTTGCATATTAGCCTTTTATAATATATATAAACTAGAGGCCTGTTGCATGATATTCGTGCAAGAATAGGCCTTCCTTTCCCTGGCTTCACTCCCAGCCACCCAGGCACTGGCACGTCCCCTCTCCCCAGCCACCCAGGAGCCAGCACATCCCCACTTTTTGGTTGCCTAGGAGCTGGCAAGGCCTTGCTTCTGGCCAGAGCACCACTCCTATAGCTCCATCTGCCGCCCTCCTCCCTTCATAGCAGGCATCACAACCCTCTGGCTGCTCCTCACCTGCATATACAAATTAACCTCCATCTTTGTTAGGTTAATTTACATACTCACTCTGGCTGTGGCATAGCGGAGTGGTGGTTAATTTGCATGTTTCCCTTTTATTA